TCCGCTTAGCACACCGCCACACAATGCCCATCAATCAACAAAGCACGTGAGCTATCCGTGCCCCGTATCCCCGGACGACATCTTACCGGCCAGCCAGGCACTCTCTGAAAAACATATCCGCCAAGTTACACAGCCATGCGCAATCCCGGTATATTTATCGCATTCTTCCCACCTACAATCGGTGAATGCGTCCAACTGGGCAAGTAAGTCCACTACAGCACCGTCCCTACGCACGCAAACACGCACGGATATAACGCTGCGCCCTGGACGTTGCGCGGTTTAGCGGAGCTTTCTCCGCAAACAACATATCCCGACAAACTTTGGAGCGAACTAGAACCCCCACCGTGCCGGACTTGAGGCTCCAGTCCCAAAAGGGAACAGAGACGTAAGCCGTGTGGCATGGACTTTTTTGGTACGATTGGCCTGGATTGTGCGCTTCTGTGTATGTCGATATACGAGGTTCTTGTCGTCAGTGGCGTTGTATAGTCGATGATACAATGTATCAGATAAGAAAGGTCCATTGTGCTTGGCATGGTTTACTTATTACACTGGCCAAGGAGGTGGGCCAGGGGGGGTATATAGAGAAGTGGGATATTGCTACAGCGGCGGATTTTTCTTACTTAGGAATTATCCCCCATTGACGTGTTACGATCCGAAGAACCGACTGAATCATGATGAAAGCGAGGAATGTTTTGCGAGTGAGTTGTCAAAAGCTGATGATCATCGCGGACATTGGATTATACATTGCGCCGGTGCGTGGCATGATGGAAGTTGGCAGTTTAGGGCCAATCGGCGACGATCGCACGGTGAAGGTAGTCGGGGATCCCTAGTGCGGCGGCAACTTTTAGCGTTTTCTCGGGGAACATCAATGACATTCCACCTTCGGGTAGGCCTTTTTTTCTCCGAACCCAATCATAACAGAGATCGTTGTGGTTCAAGTGTACCAGGATAGGTGTAGCAAGCATTTAAACGGCGATTGAGTCGTAAGAATTTCCCGGTGCCAAAACCGCTAGCAGGGTCCACGCTGTACGACCATTGCCCGTAGATTGCGCGTCACAAAGGGTGTTGCGAACATGCCCAGAGAAAAGGAATCGGAGATATAGGAGATGATATACCCCAGGATGTCGCACCGCGTTTTGGCCTCAGGAAACACCTGGTTTTCCTCGACCGACACCAAGTCGCCGGAACAAGTCGCGTTTGGGATTCTCATGCCATGATACTAACTAGCGTCAACCGGATGCCCAGGACGCGTCGAGATGCCACTTTCCGGATACGCCAATACGGCCATACGTCAGAAGCGTATCCTCTTCTCAGTTTTCGGCTTCGCGTTCGGGTAAGGCATCGTACGATCTGGCGTGAGGCTTGCCATGCTGCCGTTGTAGCAAAAGTGGCGTGATTCTTCGAAAGCGTCGAGGCGCGGTTCCGCAGACTCTTGTCTCAAAGGCGCGAGTCTCGCCGTCATAGACGAGCCAGTTCGATAGGCAGCTGAGGGGTTAGGCGAGGTCGCCGGTCATCGCGATGGCTCGTTAGCGTAGCGGGTGTGTCGAGATCACAGTGGCGTTCCGGAGAGCTTCGTTTGATGTGCAAAGGAGGGGAACGGCGGGAAAGAAATAGGGTTCTAGATGGAAAAGCAAAAGCTTGATCTACAAACTCTACTAATCGCAAAAGGTACGGTTCATAGAAACACGGACGAATTTGTCAGTGATTGGTAAACTTGAGGCGACCGAGCACGGCGGGGATCTGTTTAACGTCATTGGGTGGTATGGTGGGCGATTTTCTTCTTTGGGAGAATTGGGCTGGCGGACCGTGACGGATGTCCGTAGTGCGGGGTGTCACGTGGCGTTGCGATTACCTCATGTCTTACCAAGAATTTCAGAGTCTAGCTTCAATGTATGATTTCCGAAATACTGGAGACTCTGGACGAAATGACAGTGTTATGGTAGTTTTGGATGCCAACTTCGTGCGTCGTTCCGAACTCAGCGTCTCTAAAAGTCGAGGGCATGATCCATGCGGATGTTGAGCGATACGAGATGTAGGCTGACGAAGAGGGACGTGTATCTGAAACAAACGTAAGCGCAGAGTAGGACCATTCGTATCGCTCCATTTACTCATCTCACTTGCCCCATCCACGAGCCTCTGAATCCCGAGATGTCATCGTCCCCTCAACCTCCCCAGCTGTACGCAAGGTTGTCAGTAATCAATATCTCATCAATATTGTTGTTTGATTTGTTTGATTCGGAGCCAACCAACTAACCAACAGTTAGCCACTGTATTTCTGTCAATCAATCAACCAATCTTGAGAACAAAATGTTGATAGGATTGGTGTTGTTTGATAGTAAGCGAGGGAGGGGGATACCTAGGTGAGGCCTCTGGGATAGCTGCTCAACGACGAATTCTTAGTGTTGGATCTTGCTTACTAAGCCTACTCGCGTGTAAGTTTGTCAGATTGAGGCGAGGTTTTGCTCCATGATCGAGCCGATGGTGGTTGGGGAAGGACATGAGACCCCCAAACCAGGGCTAGCGCCGGGACTTAGCACTGCCAAGCCCGAGGCGAGGCCACCTCCCACAGACAGAGCCGTAGACAGAGACAGACAATACACTTGATCCCATCCATAAAAATCTGACAAAGTTATATGACCTAGGTTCCATCCCATCTCTCACTCACTCCAGGCTAGTACGTACGAGGCTTAGCGCCCACAACGCTAGCTGGCAGAGACATAGATCTCAATTCCTGTAGCACAATACACAACACGATTCACACATGTTCCATTCCTAGTGCTACTGACATCAGGCTTATAACATTTAACAACACCTTACTTTCTCGCGGCTCCGGCTTACTTTTAGCCTTATCCATGCCCTCTATACCAGCAAAACGCAAGCCCGAGGCTGCCGAAGAAGCTGATACTCCCTTCAAGCGAGCACAACGTACGCGCAAACCTACGCTCAAGGCGCTGTTGGGTGACGGCAGCCAGCCAACCCAGCCGATAGAGCTGCCAGAAAGTACGCCGGATCCGCCTACAGAGCCGCCTACAGAAGTTATCGAGCCGCCCACACGGGCTATTGAACCGCCATGTAAGCCTGTACAACAACCCGAGGAGCGCCCTCGGCGGGCATCACCACTGCCTATTTTGGCTGCCTCACAAGCCTCTCGGCTCACTGATGAGCCAGCCTGGGAGTCGCAGTTAATGTTTGATAAGCCAGAGGACTCTATTGTACAGCCTTTAGCTTTCTCTAGCGCTGCCACTGAGGCTTCGGTGGAGGAGGATAGCGCTGTGAGCGTCGATTTTCGCGACTTTGAGGGCGTCGATTGGTCGCGATTAAAGGGGTTTGTCGCGCCGCTGAGCACTCCACGAGGCAAGGCAAGCTGGATTTTTCAACACGGCTGGCGTGTCTGGAAGGAGGGTACTCACCACCCAGATGAGTTGTACTTTGTGTGCAAGTACTGTCATATTCATAAGCTACCTAATGGTGTACACCGAGTAACGAAGTCAACCACTGCCGCCAACGGGCACCTCCAGCTTGATAAACCTGGTCATCGGCTCAGCAAAGACGGTCCAATCCTAAGCAAACCTCTCCGCAAACATGGACAACAATCACTTCGTCAGGCAGCTCTAAGCGGTGTCAAATTTAGTCTAGAGGCGTACAAGACTATAGGAAACTTCGACGTACAGAAATTTCGGCAAGCAGCTGCGCTCTGGCTGGTCGACAACAACAGACCACTCCGCGAGTTTGAGACGCCGGCTTTTCGCAAGATGATCAGGCTTGCTAATCCTGAGGCAGAGGCGGCGTTATGGAGGTCTCATAACAGCGTGTCAGCGTTCGTGATGAGGTTGTACAGTTGGCTACGACCTCAGGTGGTGCGCGCGTTGGCTGAAGCCGAGAGCAAGGTACATATAAGCTTCGATGGGTGGACGACAAAAGGCGGCAAACGTGGCTTCTTTTCTGTAGTTGCTCACTACGCCAACAGTAAGGGCGCGATAGTTGACCTACCCATCGCGCTGCCGCAGCTGGTGGGTGCCCACACTGGTGAGGCGATAGCTGACGCTGTAACCAAAATCCCTGCAATCCTTCAGCATCAATCGCAGCAAACTCGGCTACTTTGTGCTCGATAACGCTTACAATAACGACACCGCTGTTAACAAACTCGCCGCGATGTACCACTTTTCTGCCTCCGATCGCCGCCTCCGCTGCGCTTGCCACATACTTAACCTTGTTGGCCAAACGATTATGTTCGGGAGGGATGCTGACGCGTATAACAACGCCCTGGAGAACACAAAGATGGAGGATTTTTACATGAAGGAGTGGCGGAAAGAAGGACCGCTTGGCGTGTATCTTGATATTATCAACTACATCAACCCGCCGAAGCAGTGGAGCATTTTTGAAGATTGCCAACGCGAGGCAGTTAACAGCATGCCCACAGGCGCCAGCGGCGGCACTCGCGAGCCAATTAAGCCGTGTGTTACACGTTGGAACAGCTATTACGACTGCTTTAAGCGCGGAGTTCAGCTCCAACAAGCTATCAACGCATACGCCACGTACCACATTCGCGAGACTGAACAGGCTGACGAACAGGCAGCTATTAGAGGAAACAAGCTGCCTGATGTGCCGCGGTGGATGAGGTCAGACGGCCTTACGGCGGCTGACTGGGCGGTGATTACTGAGTACATGGCGATACTGCAGCCGCTCAAGTTTGCTACAGATCGCCTCCAAGGCCGCGGCAAGTGTGGCCGTTTTGGCGCACTCTACGAGGTCATCCCAGTATTTGAGAGTGTGATAACTGAGCTGGATGCACGCCTTCGGCCATACGAATCGGTCAACCACGAGCCATCTGAGGCGCCCGAAAATCACATCCCGATCAACCTGCGAGCCGCGAGGCGAAAAGCGAGCAATTACTTTACTAAGATCCTCCAAAGTCCCATTTACTACGCAGCTACGGCACTATATCCACGATATAAAACATACTCTAAGCGCTTCTGGCGCAACAAACCTACACAATTGAGCACCGCGCACGCGAAGTTTCTGCGGGTTTGGGCTGCCTACAAGCCTGCCGCTGCTGCCACAACACCAACCCCTGCGCCAAAACCTACCATGAGCAGCTTTGACGACGCTATCGACGCTATACTAGATGAGGACGGCGAGCATACAATGGAGGTGGAGGATGAGTACGATAGCTGGTTAAAAGAGCCTATATGGACGTCTGATCAACACAAGGAGGGTCCAACAGCTGTACAGTACTGGTTATCGTTGAAGCCGAAGTATCCACATCTTTCACGATTGGCGATCGACGTGTTGACTATACCCGCCTCCAGCTCTGATTGTGAGCGCGTTTTTGCGGGAACTGGCGATATAATTGAGCCACAAAGGCGGAAAATTGGCGCGCAGTTACTGGCTGCTTTGGTGTGCTTGCAACGGTGGACTCGTGCAGGTTTTACAACACCAAGCACGACAACAGCAGCAAAGCATACTGATGAGGAGCTCACGGAAGAGTTTGCGATAGGAACGTGGGAAGAGCCGCCTGCAGAATTGTCATAGAAACGTCCCTTCAGAACCTTAAGTCTATCAATATTCAATCAATCAAGCAACCAAAAATTGGCTCTTCAGTCTCATCAACTCAAACAAACAAACTGTAACCCTAAGAAATGAGCTAATCAATCAACATCTACGCCTCAAATGTTGGTTGTTTTGTTTGTTGACTTCTCTGGCTGTACGTGAGGTGAGCATTCCACCCGCGTCGAATTGACCATCTGCAGAGAAAAGCTTTCGGTCTTCTTCACCTGTCATGAGTTGGGAACAATATGTCTTTGTGTAAGATGTTAAAAGGTAAATCAAAGGTCGTGCTAAATATCACGAATCGCTACGGGTGACAGGTGGTGCTCTTGCACCCCTCACATGTCATGACGTCAAGGATTCATGCTGATGTCAGATAACAACACAACATCTATCGAGGCAGGAGCAACTGTAAGCACGACATACAACCCTCTTGACAGGAGGCAAGTACCGAACCAATAGAAAAACACATGGACTAGACGTTCGATGTCAAAGTGGGCATTCGTCTGGAGGATCAGCCAGATGAAATTTTGGAAGAGTAGCATCGAAAAAGGAATGATTGTTTACTGGAGCAGCGTAGTAGTAATCATTGGTCATACGAGGCGATCTCTTGGCAGCAAATATGAGGGTAAGATAATCAGCGCATGGAGGCAAATCACGACACAAAGGTTGTCATCTAATGTCTTGCTAATTTCCATCAACTGATCAATCAAGCGATACAATAATTCTATCTGCCCATTGTATTAATCCTGACATATGCCCGTCGATATGTCCAACTCTCCATCATCAAACATTATTGCATTAAATTTGAATTGTCAAAGACTATACACGATTTGCGTGCACTAAGAGATTAAAACAGGTCTAAGCCCAACCCTGCAGCACCAATCAAGAAACCAGCGATATGCCCGGTCGGCAAAGCAGCAGCTCCGGTAAACTCAGATGCCGCGCTCGAGCTCGAGATGGGGGGAGAAGATGTGCCATCAGACGTAGTGGTCCTCTGCGTAGACGCAGCGCTCGATACGACGACTGAAGAGAAAGGAGCGGGAGTAGATGCGGGAGCCTCCGTGGAGGATGAGGGTTCGACGACGATGGACGAAGGCGAGATGGAGGATAGAGGAGGAGGAGCGGATGCGGATGAG